TCTGATAAAAATCAATACTCATTTATCATTAATATAGTAAACTAGAACTAAAAAGGAGCTTCCTTAACCTGATAATAGATATCTACCAAATAGAAGAAAACAACCAAAACTGAGTATAGCCTGCACAAAGATATCCTGTATTTAATCACATTATAGGTGGCAGAGTTGTTATTGTTATTCTGAGTGTTTTGTGTATAGAGTGATAGAGCAAATAATTTGTTGGTGTCATTGAAAACTGAGATTTTTTTTTGCAGTAAAATATACCTAATATAAAATTCACCATTTTTAAGTGTACAGTTCAGTAGCATTAAGTACATTCACATTGTTGTGCAACCATCACCACCATCCATCCATCTCCAGAATCTGCTCATCATCCCCAGAATAAAGTGTATACATTAAATACTAACTTCCCATACCTTCCTCTCTCCAGCAGCTGAGAACCACTATTCTACTTTCTGCCTCTATGAATTTGACTATTCTAGGTACCTCTATTAAGTAGAATCATACAATATTTGTCTTCTTGTGTCAGCCGTATGACACAGCATAATGTCTTTAAGTTTCATCCATGTTGTTGCATGTTGTCAGAATTTCTCCTTTTTAAGGCTGAATAATACATCATTGTATGTATACACTACATTTTGTTTATCTATTCAGCTGTCCATGGATATCCGGATTGCTTCTACCTTTTGGCTATTGTGAATAAGGCTTCTATGAACACTGGTGTACAAATATCCACTTGAGTTCCTCCTTTCAGTTGTTTTGGATATATACCCAGAAGTGGAATTGCAGGATCATATGGTAATTCTGTTTAATTTCTCGATGAATACTGTTTTCCACAGCAGCAGCACCATTTTATATTCTCATCAGTGATGCACAAAAAATCCAATTTCTCCACACCCTCGCCAACACTTGTTTTGTTTTTCTGATAATAGCCATCCTAATGGGTATGAAGTGGTAATTCATTATTTTTATTTGCATTTCCCTAATATCTATTATGTAGAGCATCTTTTCATGTGCTTGTTGGCAATTTTATATCTTCTGCAAAAAAATGTCTATTCCAGTCCATCACCAACTTTTTAATTGGGTTGTTTGGATCTTTTTGGTCATTGAATTTTAGTTGTTTTTAATATATTCTGGCCAAATATGGAACAATTTGAACTGTGATAATATATAGTAATAGATAAAAGCACATTAAATATATTTAAATCCATACATTCATTAAGCTATTTTTAAAATGCTTATTAATCAATTCTGGAGGATGCTAAAGAACCAAGGCATTATTTTGAAAATGAACAAAGGTAAATTCTATACCCTAATAAATCATTTTTAGGTAGATACTCAAGAAAAATTCTCTATACATGCACAACAGGAAATAATCACAGGAATGTTCTTAACAACACTGTTTATAAACTGGAAACCCAAATAGCCATTCTCAGGATGAATAAATTAAAAAACTGTGATATATTTATAAAATAGTATACAGCAGCAAAAAAATAAATAAACTATGAAACAGATGAATGTTAGTAATATGTCGAATGAAAAATGCAAGTAACAAAGGACAACAAAACATACTCTTCATAGAAGTTCAAAATTAAGCAAAATCAGCATCCTATTGTGTAGGCATGTACATATGAATACATTTTTTTATTAAAATTTTTTTTTCTTTAGAAAAAGTCAAAAGGAATAACAGACACAGAATTCCGGATGATGGCATCCTGGACACGGGGATAAGGAGGGGATGAACAGGTGAGGAGCAGGTGGGTAAAATTAAGTCCGGATGGTGTCCAGCCCCTTGAGTTTTGCAGTGGGTAGGTACACTGGAATTCAATGTATTAATTTAAAAGTTATAAATATATGTGAATTTTAAAAAGAGGCTCATGTGAGGATCAATGATGATTGTGTATCATTAATCAAAGATTATAATTAATCCATTCTGTCGTCCTGACGTTTGCCTCCTCAGAGAGGTAAGGTGACTCTTCTAATCCGGGGCAGCCACATGAGAAACTGAAATGAGTGGGAGGGGTGGTAATTGTTTTCACTTTTCTCTTCCTGTTTTTTCAGAGCCTGGGAAAGCAAGTCAGAATTTCCAATCTTTTACAATTCCCACGTGATTCCCTAATTTAGAACGAACTTAGAGAAAATTTAAAAAAATCTTCCTCCATCTGGAGCAGACTCTGTCGCCTGCCCTGGAGCATCCTCATTCTGGGATGAGGAACCCGCCTGGGGCCGGGGGTGTGCTCCAGCCCCACCCTCATCCCTCACGAACGCGCCCGGGCTTGGCTTTAGGGAGGATATTCCCGGCGAGGGGGTCACAGGATGGTTAATTAGTGGAAATGCTTTGGGTGACAGCTGGACCCCAGCAGGAAGCCCTGGGGAGGATGGGCGGGGGATATGACCCTGAGGGTTCAAGCGGGCCCTGGGGGTCCCGGACTTTCCAAAACACTGGCACCTGGTTGCAAAGATGAGGCTCCAGAGATTTACCCCTGGGTGACCCTTGACCACTTGCCCCGAGGACAGGCCGTGTGGATGTATCTTAAACCAACGAGCCTGGGCCGGGCTTGCCAGCGGGAGCTGACAAGGCGCGGAGCCTCGGTCCACCGTATCGTGCAGCAGGCATCGGGAAGCCTACGATCAAAACACTGCCAGGTGGAGAGGTCCGGGCCCTTCCCTTTCCACTCACTGCATCCAAATTGGGCAGGACGGGAAATTAAAAAGTGCTTCGGCAACAACGACCAGGAAGCACCTTTATCGACTAGGAAACCGTGTGGAGTTCAGCCACCTTGCCTTTGAGAGAAAAGCAGGCCCGAGCCTTTCCCTGCGCAGGGCGGGCGGCCGAAGCCCGGCAGCCCTGGCTTTACTCCAGACTGGGCTGGGTGACATCACCAAACTCCTCCGATCGGCGGGAGGAGGGGGGCCCGAAATCCCCTAAAAACATTGTGAGTAATCGCCGGGCCCGCCCTGCAGGCGGAGCTCAGACTCGGGAGGGAGCCGAGCCGCCCCTCCAGTCCCGGGAGCGGCCTCCAGGCAAGCAGCGGTTCGGTGCCCCGCGCGGCGCGCACTTGCCCCGGGTCCCCGGCAGCGGCGCGCGTGCGGCCTCCCTGTCTTTGGAGAGGCACGCAC